CGCCGCTGCGGCAAGTTCAGACGGTGAGCGGCGCACCAGAAGCCAACGCCCGCTCCGAGACTTGACGCGGTGGTCTTCACGCCGAGGTCAAGCAACACCCGCTCCGAGCCTTCACGAGTCAGCCGGCGAAAACAACGGTTGAGCGACACTCGGGTGGACGCGCTTGAAGGCCACATCGAAAAAAACGAGCTGGGTGTTTCCATGCAGAGGCTCTAATTCTTGACACAGAGGCTGATGCAGAACACCGCAGAGCCTCTAACCAGGCTCTGTGTAGAAACATGGACGGTCTCGTTTCCAAAAGTCGATTTCGTGAGTGGATGTCCATCGCATGGCTCCCCGTCAGACTCGATAGAGGCACAGGCAATCTTGCCCTTTGGCCAACGCGGGGCCGTGGTGTTGAGCGCTTTTGAGGCTAGGTCCGGAGTTGTCCGTGCGCGTTGTCGGCGGTATCATGTGTATGTACCGTGCGGATCGCGTGCGTCGTGCATATCGTTCGCATCTGTGTGTCAGTATTGTGCGTGTATCAAAGGTATCAAAGGCATCAAGCGTATGAAGCGCATCAATCGTAGCGGCTCACAGCGCTCACACCAAGCATCGACCTTCGATTCCAGCAGCCCCACCGAGTTCGCATGCAGGGCGCCAGCTGGACGGTGCCGAGGTGATACAATGGCGCGAACGGTCTCAAACTCCTCGTCGAGCTTGGCATCCTTGCCGCGCAGCTGTGACACTTGCGCGGCCTCGATGTGTGGCCGATGCTGCAAGAGCTCGGCAGCCTCAGCAGCCGGCTCCAAACATTGCACGTGTCAAAATGTCACTCGTGCACCAAGAAACTCGGCTCATGAAGATCCCAGAGTCAAGACACTCTCGAGAACTCACAGCAGGCTTCAACACTCGCAAGGCACAGAAATTCTCGAGCGCAAACACACAATCCAGAGAATCTGCAGCAGGCGTTCGAATTGACGATCGACCAGACTACAAAAGAGGAGGAGAAAAAGGAGGAACGATGGGGGGGGGGAGAGCTTTTTTCGTACTCCGCGCGAAAGCCTATGAGAAAAAACGCGGGCGAGAAAGTTGGAATTTTGCTTCGGTCGACCGGGAGCGGTCAACTTGAGCCGGGTGCCTGCCTACGAAGAGACGATGATGGCGTTTTGCCACCACCATCTTACCTGACCAGTAACGGCCAAGACAGCAGCTGCCAGATCGGCGCGCTTACTTCTTCTTGCCAGCCTTTTCGGCCGCTTTCGTGGTCTTGCCACCCTTGCCGGAGGTCTTGTTGACCTCCTTGATGACACCGACGGCGACCGTCTGGCGCATGTCGCGGACGGCGAAGCGACCAAGAGGGGGGTACTGCTGGAAGGACTCGACACACATGGGCTTGGTGGGGACCATGTTGACGAGGGCGGCGTCGCCGGACTTGATGAACTTGGGGTTGTTCTCGATGGACTTGCCGGTACGGCGGTCGATCTTCTCGGTGATCTCGTTGAACTTGCAGGCAATGTGGGCGGTGTGGCAGTCGAGGACGGGGGCGTAGCCGTTGCCGATCTGGCCGGGGTGGTTCATGACGATGACCTGGGCGAGGAAGGAGGCGGCCTCCATGGCGGGGTCGTTCTTCGAGTCGGAGCAGACGTTGCCGCGGCGGATGTCCTTGACGGAGACGTTCTTGACGTTGAAGCCGACGTTGTCGCCGGGGAGACCCTCGGAGAGGACCTCGTGGTGCATCTCGACCGACTTGACCTCGGTGGTGACGTTGGAGGGGGCAAAGGTGACGACCATGCCGCCCTTGATGACGCCGGTCTCGACACGGCCGACGGGCACAGTTCCGATACCGCCGATCTTGTAGACGTCCTGGAGGGGCAGGCGGAGGGGCTTGTCGGTGGGGCGCGAGGGGGGCTCGATGGCGTCGATGGCGTCGAGGAGGGTCTTGCCGGTGACCTTGCCGGCCTTGGTCTCGCGCTCCCAGCCCTTGTACCAGGCCATCTCCTTGGTGGGCTCGATCATGTTGTCGCCGTGCCAGCCGGAGATGGGGACGAAGGCGACGGTCTTGGGGTTGTAGCCGACCTTCTTGATAAAGTTGGAGGTCTCCTTGACAATCTCGTTGAAGCGGTCCTCGGAGTACTTGGTGGTGTCCATCTTGTTGACGGCGACGATGAGCTGGCGGACACCGAGGGTGAACGAGAGCAGGGCGTGCTCGCGGGTCTGGCCGTCCTTGGAGATACCAGCCTCGAACTCACCGGTACCACCGGCGATGATGAGGATGGCGCAGTCGGCCTGCGAGGTACCGGTGATCATGTTCTTGATAAAGTCACGGTGGCCGGGGGCGTCGATGACGGTGACCATGTACTTGGGGGTCTCGAACTTCCAGAGAGCAATGTCGATGGTGATACCACGCTCACGCTCAGCCTTCAGCTTGTCGAGGACCCAGGCGTACTTGAAGGAACCCTTGCCGAGCTCGGCGGCCTCCTTCTCGAACTTCTCGACGGTACGCTTGTCGATACCACCGCACTTGTAGATCAAGTGACCGGTGGTGGTCGACTTACCAGAGTCGACGTGTCCGATGACGACGACGTTAACCTGCAGAGGTGGTCAATGGAGGGTCAGCCACTAGTCCTTTGTGATGACTTTGCTGGCTGTATGCAGTTGGCATGTAGTGCTAGCTGTATGCAGTTGGCATGTCTCTATCGCGTTGCCACACTGACACCAGACTCGGCCTGGATGACGACCACCGCTTCACACTGTGACGACGGCGGCGGCAGCGTTGGCGACGACGACGATCGAGGCTATGATGTTGTTGCTACTTACGTGAGCCTTCTCCTTTCCCATATTGAATGATGTTTTTGGTTTGTGTTGGATACAATGTATGCGGTCGGAAGGAAAGATAGCGACGAGAGCGCAGCGAATTTATTCAGTTTGGCCCGCTGGCGCTCTTCGCCCGCACTGTCGCACACGAGGGGGCCGCAGGCCTGGCCTCGAAGAAAGGGAAACTACCCCAACTGCGCTGCGCGCAGGCAGAGAAAATTTTTCTTGTGGGCCGCGTTGCGAACTTTTGACTGCTCTGCTGCCTCGATCGTCATTGGGCGCCGAGGCGGGATCGGCTCGACCGACAGGCTGCGCAGCGCTGAATCTGGAAGAAGCGCAAGGACCAATGAGCGCTGGACTGTCCTTCTGCCTCTCCCCCCTTTGCCACTTGCCCAGGATCTCACTTCAAATCCAGATGAAAGTCCACTGGTCCTGCCAATACAAAGATTTGCAAAGAGCAGGTCCTTGCAGCTACATTCCGTTCGCAGAGCGCCCACTTGAGCTCATCCGCACTGAAGGCTGAGCCAGAGTTGGACCGACCGCGCACGTTCCCCCGACCAACTTGTTCTGGCTGGGTCGCGCTTCCTCCTCGCCGACATGTAGATCTCGTCTGTGCTTCAGGTTGTGCGAGGCAGCACACGCAAGGAAGATCCGCCGATCAGGGCCGGCTTCCGCAATCTTCACCCTTCGCGACTCAGGAAAAGGACCGTGGGAGGCACTGGCAACGGGAGGATCAGCCAGTTGCCACGTCCACGACTCGACTGCGGCAACGGATTCGCTAATTTCGGATGCCGCGCCAGAGCACAGGCCAATTTCGCACGCACTGTGACCGCACTCGGTCGATCCAGCCACCTGCGCGATCCAAGTTGGAATTGGAACTGCACCTCTCCCGACGCAGGTGGTGCGCCACCGCGCCCGGTCCAGACGCACGTCGAGTTCCTGCGCGGATGCTCAGCTCGGACGTGACGGTCGCTGCGTCCCTCGCATCGCCGATGGATCGCACTGCTCACTTCGATCGGGTATGCTCTGCATCCCCACACCCATTGCCCTGTTCCCACTGCGGCTACAATTACAAACGCATGGTGTATGGCAGCACGAGCACCGGCTGCCTAATCAACAGACAGGCCAGTTGCGGGATAGCTCGATGGATCTGCGTGAGCCTAGTTCTCGTTGTCCTCCTCCTCGTCTTCGTCATCCCAGAGGTCGCCATCACCGCCGCCATCACCATCGTCATTGGATATACTTGATGGGTCTGGTGCCGATCCGCCCGCTGGCTGAGCCGCAGACGCGGAGGACTGCGGACGGTTGCGACTGGCGGGTAAAGCGGGAGGGGGCATTCCGCCGTTCGGTGCAGAGCCTTGCGAGTCCTTCGCGGCGATGGGTGCGGACAGTTGCCCCGACGACGCCGTGACCGGCTGCTGTCGCTGCCCATCTTCATGCTGTCGTTCGGGAGAGTGATGTTCGTCCCCGTCTTGACGATGCTGCCCGGTGGCCTCGGTGGCGGCCCCGTTCGATGAAGCAGCAGCCTCGTGCGCGGCTTCCTCTGCAGCTGCGGCGGCCAGATTGGCCTCCTTTCGCTCCTTGCGCGATTGCTTGATTTCTGCCAGCTGGTTCCGCTTCATGTCGCGCTCCGTTGTGAGCTTGCGCAGCGCCTGCTGATGTCGGTTCTTGATGATCAGATTCATGGTGCCGTCGACGTCGCTCTGCTTTCGGCGCAGCAGCGTCTCGAGCTCCCTGCACTCTGCCTCCAGCTGCGCCTCGCGAACGCGCTGCTCCTTCTCCTCGTCGTTCTCGTCCTCCTCATCGTCGTCTTCGTCCCCGCCGTCGTCGGCATCGTCGTCGTCGTCGTCATCCCACAGATCTTCCTGGTCGCTCGCGCGACTCTGAGCCTCGCTCCCTGCCCCGCGCGTCGACTCGCCGTCATCGTCGTCATCGTCCTCCTCTTCCAGCGCAGCATCCAGCTCGGCCGCCAGATCTTCATCCACGTCGTCCTCGTCATCCAGTTCCGCGTCATCGTAGCCGCCCACACCTCCACCCTCACCGTGACCCCGGCGCCGTTCTCCTTGGCCGTCTTCGTCCTCGTCTCCGTCGTCCCCATCCTCGTCCTGCGAGCCCGCGTCGGAGCCGTCCGGCATGGGCGTCTCGGCCTGGGAACCGCCTGGAGACGATACGCCTCTACGAGACTGGCCGCGCGGATGCGCATCGTCCTCGTCCGACCCGCCCTCGTCGGCTGCGTCGATCATTTCGTACTCGACCTCTTCTGCCTTCTTGTCCGCTTTGAGCAGACGCTCCACCTCTTTCTCCACGGTCTCGATCGCCCGACGTGCAGCACGCTTGCGGAAGCGACGCTTGCGTGCCCATTGCATGGGCGGCGTGATGCCGTGCGGATAGACAAAGTCTTCGATGTTGAATCCTTTGCCAGCACCGCTGGACGACGCTTGCGACTCGTCCGCGATCTTGCCTTCGACCACGAGCATCTGCGCAATGTCGGCGACCTTGAAGAACTGGCGATTGTCGAGCGTCTTGTGCGATTCGGTGATGGTGGGAAGATCGACCAGCTTGGCGGAGAAGAGGGAATCGCCGACGTGCACGACGGCGCGCCTCGAGTCCTTGAACTTGAACCACACGTCGTCGCCCAGTTGCCGTTTTTGGATCGACTCGCGCAGCTTGTCGCATTCGGGACCTTCCGGCATGCGAAAGATGAGCTGCTCCTCAAAGGCGAGACCCTCCCCGGTCTCGTCGTCTTCCGAGTCCAGCTCGCGATCGTAGCCCTGCATGTACGGTTGCGTTTTGGGTCCCTGGCCGACTCCAGCGGCGGTGCCTCCTCCCGAAGCTTTCATCTTGAGCTTGATCTGCGGACGTGCACCGGACGATGTGCGGATGGGCCGCGATGGCTGCGACCGCTTGCTTCCACCATGTTCCCATCCATCCGGCGACTGCTCTCTAGCTAAGAGAGCCTTGGCAGTCGGTCGGACCGCTCGTTTTGGTCGTATCCCTCGTGCTCCTGCATCCCCAGAGGGAGACGCAGAGCCGCTTGCCTCGCTCATGATGTCCGGCGGCTTAGTCGCGGTGGCTTGCCGATAGCACCGTCCTCCCGACTTGATCGGATGCGGACCAGCTCGCGAATCGGTCCCAACTTTGCGCCGTTTCCAGATATAGCAACCTCACGACCGGGCCTGGGGGGAATGGTGCGTTGCTGCTGGGGCGCTCGATGCCGAGACGTTGCCGAGGAAGCTGGTAGTAGAGTGTCGATGTCGTCCTCACCAGTGCATCCCTTGAAAAGCTCAGTCGGCAGGAGCGAACGCGCTCCACACAACACCCACACCCGCGTGCCATTTCCGAAAGCCGAACCTTTCGCCTTCAAAACTCATGCTCTCACACCACAACCGTCCGCCTGCCGACCGCCACATTGCGCTATCGAGCTGGACGTTCATACAGCCCAATGCTAATATGCTTCCCACTACTCCACACACGCAACAATGTCTGGTCGATCGGGCCCGCGCTAGGGGGCGATTGATATTTTGCGCAGAGGTCAAGTTGGCGCTCTGCAAAAGGGCGTGTGTGATGTGGTTTTGGTACATGGAGATGCGAGCGTGAGGTAGACAGAGACATCACAGGATGGATGAGCTTGAAAGTCAAAGGCTCGTCACATGGGAGTAGCTGACGAGACGACGATTCCAATGGTGAGGGCGACAGGCTTATGCCTCCTGAGCACGAACGCGGGCGTTGGCGTTGGTGACCTTGACACCGAGAGCCTTGGCCTTCTCGAGAATGTCGATGCGCTTCTTGGACGAGACGTTGTGGGCGATCTCGGCAGCGTAGACACCGTTGTGCATGAGGAGGAGCTCGACGTCACGGACGTTGGAGACCACAAGGCGGCGGTAGCCGTTGGGCATCAGGTGACGGGTCTTCTTGTTGGAACCGTAACCGATCTTGGGCATGCGCACGGTGCTGCGGAATCGGCGGCGGACGGCGCTGTCGATACCCTTGGGCTTGCGCCACGACTCGCCGACACGGTGGTATCGGTCAGAGTGGTGGCGCTTGAACGCCTTGGTGCGCTTCTTGACGATGGGGATGGAGGTGGCAGCCATCTTGACAATCTGGAGCAGGGCGAGGAGTGGCGGGATGGAAAAGCGGTCACGTTCACGTTCGAGTCAGCAACAGTTCGTCTGCTATGCGGCGAGGGAGGTGCGTCGACGTCTTTTGCTATCTATGCGGCCCGGTCGTGTGTGTGTCGGATAGGTGGTGCACGCTGTTGGCACAATTTCAGGTTGTAAACAAGGGCGAGGTCGTCCGGAAGAACAGAAGCCGAGCAAAGGTGGGGCAAAAGGTATAGCAAGACGGCTCCGTTATCAGAGGTGCTTTCCTCTTCAGAGTGCGAGTGTGAGGCGATGATCGTACGGAGGTGGCGTGAACTGCTTTGAACAGCCGGTCTGATGGATGTGCGTTCGACCAGATGCTGCGACATGCCTTGCTCGGCATGCGGTATGCCCTGGAGGAGAGCGATGGGATGCATGCCCGAGTCTTTTCGCCATTAGCCATGTTCGACTTTGCGCAACATCTGCCAAGGCCACGTCTCCAACCTCGTCCGCTATCGGTTCGACATGATGGCGCAAGAGCACTCTCGTGACGCTGTTCGTGCGGTTTCTGTCCTTTGGAATCGATGTCGGAAGGTGATGCTGTGTGCAAGGCGGAGGATGCTGGTGCATTGGCGCATCAACATGAAGCACGTTGTTGGTTCCTTGTTTGCTGCGGATACAATGTCGGGCTGCCTGATGTGATTCGATGGTGCGCGTATGTCGAGACTGGCGTGCTGATAGATGCTGTAGACACTGACGACTGACGGGGCATGCTTACCTTTCTTGACGGGTGAGGATGGTGGTGATTCAAGATGATGTCGAGTAGCTTTCGACATTCACCAGACGCTCAGCAGCTGCCTCGCCCCATCGCCTCGACACCCCATTCTCGACACTCCCTCACCAATTCCAGGCAGCAGTCTGGCCTCGTCGAATTGTCACAGACTGCTGGCCCTCCTCGAGCACGCTCCCTCCAGCACGCGAAGCCGAGCCTGGGTCTGAAGAGCCAACCGGTCCCACGCAGCAATTTTCTAACAGCTCGAATTTTCGCGGTCATATCATCGCTCGGCCGAGGTCACATGATCAAATTACGGTAGGCATCGAATCGAGCATGCGTTCGCCCGGAAATCCGACACTGCAGTTCGAGGAGCCAGCCTCCCTCAGGCTGATGCAAGGCTGTTCACTGAGGGCGAAGATGAAGTCGGGCATGTGAGGTTGACCCTGCTCCGGCTTCGCAGCTGGGGCCTGGACGTCCAGAGTCTCAAGTCTCGCGCTGCGTCCGCGAGTGGGTCTTTGAGACTTGGCTGCTCGTCATCATCTTCGACACTACCACAACCGTCAAGAAACATATTGTCAAGGTTTGTATCTACATCTACGCATACACCGCCACCGACCATCTCTCCGCATCACGCTCGAGTCTACACGCAGTCGACCACACCAATAATCTCGGTATGGATCAGTCGAGTCCAGCATCATTTGCACGCATACATACGCCGACAGCTCGCATTGCATTTGGAGGATGGAGGAGGAGATGTCATGGTGGACTCGGCCTCGGACGTCTTTATCCACCGGAGCAGGATGTGCACGCGCCGTCATCCGCCACAACCAGGCATCACTATTGACGCCGCGCGATGCGTTGCGCCGCCACTCGCATGCACAACCCAACTCGCCTGGAACAACTGCTGGTTGATGGTACAGCGTCCAATATCCCTCCTTCACCTGGACTTCATCGCAGGAGGGAAACTTCGTTGCAGATAGCGCGCCAAACAACGACTAAAAGACGCATCCGCCTCAGTTTCGTCGCAGAGACCTGTCACTTGCATCGTCGAAAGCATCATCACGCGAGAGCCTCCTTTGCCAGCTTTATTGCAACTTCACCCGGCCGAATGCTCTGCAGATTTGCTGTCGGTCGACATGCGTGCAGAGCCGTTGACATCTCGACCGGGCAGCTTCGACCGCGACACCCGACAGAAAGATCCAGATACACGATCGCACGAAGGCCACCCCGACGTGGCTCATCAGCGCCGTGCACACCTTGCAGTTTGGAAGTCGTGGCGACTGCGTAGAGATGGTCGTGCGGGACCACAACGACTCGTGCTTGGTTGATCGAAGCATTGGTACTGACACCCGGCCCTTCTTTTTACTTTCGCAGATGTCCCTCCAGCAGGCAAACCCATACATCGTTGACGGCAAGGGACACCTCCTCGGTCGTCTCGCCGCCACCCTGGCCAAGGAGCTCCTCTCCGGCCAGAAGGTCGTTGTTGTGCGATCCGAGCTCATCAACGTCTCGGGCTCGTTCTTCCGCAACAAGCTGAAGTACCACGCTTACCTGCACAAGCGCCACCTGGTCAACCCCAAGAAGGCCGGTCCCTTCCACCACCGTGCTCCCTCGCGCATCCTCTACAAGGCCATCCGAGGCATGCTTCCCCACAAGACCGCCCGTGGTGCCGCCGCTCTGCAGCGCCTGAAGGTCTACGAGGGTGTCCCCCCTCCCTACGACCGCAAGAAGCTGATGGTCATCCCCGCCGCTCTCCGCGTCCTCCGCCTCAAGCCCGGCCGCAAGTTCGCCACCATCAAGCGCATCTCGCACGAGGTCGGCTGGAACCACATGGAGACCGTCGACAAGCTCGAGGCCAAGCGCAAGGTCAAGCAGCAAGCTTACCACGAGCGCCAGGTCGCCGCTTCCAAGAAGCGCGCCGCCGCCCAGACCGCCACCGCCGACAAGCTCAAGGACGTCAACGCCCAGCTTGCCTCGTACGGTTACTAAGCGCCCGCGTTCTCGTAGCCGAGGCCGTGCGGAACCGTGCATGCTGCAGACTGCAATCTTTGACCCTTCATTGCTAGCCACCTTGTACTTCATACTCTCTTCCCTGCCGTTTATACGGTGCATCACCCATAGTCCTCCCCCTTCGCATTCACAGGACTCAAAAGCGCTCACCGCAATGCCCAGACATTACACAGAAAAGCCAGAGCAGTGCAAAGGCAGTGCGACGAGCAACGCCGCTGAGGTTCTGCTCTTGCCGCGGCTGCAAGTCATTCTCCCTTGCCGACCAGGTGTGCACATTGAGACAGGCCCAGCGGTCGGCACGCAAGAGAGGCGGAGCAGGGCGTGGAACGCTTTCAGACCCTGCGCGCCTAAATTATTTGACTGCACAGCACGTCGAGGATCCTCCACATTTTTGCGGACGGTCATCACGGTCGGTCAGCACAGCCTTGTCCGCAAACTCACCCCACCATCGTCTCTTCAACATAACCTTTGGAACCGGCGTGGTGCTGCCTGGAGGAGGTATTGCGCTGGCATTCCAGCTCACAGACTCCAGATCGGCTTGAAGAGGCGCCGGATCGACGCAAATCGCACCTTCGACCCGTGCCTGATCAATCTCTCCCTCTCTGATCATGGCGCCGCGTATCGTCTTGCAGGCTCTCTGAGATCGACCAACGTGCAGTCCACACCGCTGCCACCACCTTGCGTGACGAGCAAGCGCAGCCAAGCTCGCCCGCCATGAGGAACAGCACAACTTACATCCCTGTGCCAGCTGGAGCCCCTGCTCTGCCTCCCGCTCCGGCACAGGCAGCATCAGTGCCAGCTTCATCGATGCCAGCCTACCAACGGCTGGAAACGCCAATGGGCAGGCTGACAGAGCGCTCTTCGTCACCGTCTAGCGCTCACGAGATACCGCCCAGTCTTCATCCCCGGTGGCATGCAGCGGCATCACCCGCACCCGCACCTGCACCCGAACCCGCTGTCCGATCGAGCGCACCCCTTCCTCCGCGTCTCAAGAACCCGTACGATCGGACAATGCCGTCCGTAGCTCAGGAAACGCTCTCAGTGCAGAGTCCTTCTTCGAGCAATGCTCCGGGTCGGGTCAGATTTGGACCGGGTGACCCGCTCTTCACCGCCAATGCACCTGCTGCCTACCCCAATCCCTACTCCCACCAGCAGCCGCTTCCAGACAGGACGCTCGACACCGACACCGCGGGCACTCGATCCATTCCGAATCGAACCACAGCACGGCCAGAAGATGTAAGCGATCCGACACAATCCATCGTCGACAGCCGTGCACCTGCATCAAGTCATGGCGAGCCAGGACATGAATTCGACGATTGTCCAGGCTGCCGAGCCGAACTGGAAGATGCCATCCAGGCCTCGTTGCAGACTGCAAAGCAAGAAGAAGAGTCGCGCCGCCGCGCACCTCTCGAGCAGCAGGAACTCGACCGGCTTTATGCCATCACGTCCGAGGAGGAGGAACGTCGGCGCCGACTAGCCATGGAAGAGGAGGCTCTCCTGCTTCAAGCCATCGAGGACAGTCGTCGAGAAGCCGAAATGCAGTCGCAGCGCCACGCCAATGACGAGGACGTGCTGCTCGAAGAGTCTCGCCAGCATGCGTTGCGCCAAAGAGACCAAGACGCCATCAAGGAATCGGAGATGCTCCAAGCCGCCAAGATGGCTTCCGAGATGCACGAGCAACAACGTCTCGAACGCATCGAGTCACTCCGTGATGCCGAGCGCAAAGCTCTTCAGCTCAGTCTGCAGGAGCAAGAGGAAGAGTGGGCTCGACGCGAAAGCGCGGAACGCTCCTTGCTTGAATTCCTAGAGCAACGCGGGCATTATCAAGACGCTGCTGCACAGCTTCCGACGCCCCAGCGTCCCAGCTCAACATCCGCATCGCCAGACCCGACCTCTAGACCACCTTCAGCCGTCGCGGCAGGCGATCTCGAAGCCGAATATTGGCGATTCTCCGGCCATGACGAAGCCTACCGACTCGCGCTCCAGATGCAGCAAGCATCTCTGGAAGAGCATCGCGTTCACACACGACCAGCTTCGTCTGGAACGCGCGTGCGAAGGCCTCTGCCACAGACTCCAACGCTCCGCAGCGAAAGCTCGAGTTCGCAAACACACCCGGTCGACTCGGACAGCTTGCACAATGTCGCACCAGACTCGAGCACGAGCGGAGCGTTGGGTGGAGCGCAAGTGCATGCGCTTCCCGATCCACCGCGCCCCGCTCTGCAACAAAGATCGTCCTCTTCGAGCTCCAAGCAATCCCAGTCGGTCGACCCGCTCCCGCTAGAGCAAGCTCCTTCGCCCTCCTCGGAATGGTACAACCCCTACGACGCTGTTCGCACGACTGCTGGATCCGGCGATCCTGCGTGCGATCCGTCGGATCCCGCTCCAGCATCGTACTCTATACCCAAGCGGGTAAGTTCTCAGCTTTCGACCACGACGAGGGACGAAATTGTCGCAAGCTCTTCTCCAGCCCCTGAGCAGAAGGGTCAGCGCGCACTGGCTGGGATCGACTTTGGCTACTGCAGTCTTCCCTTCGCACCCAACCTGGACAAGCCTGCTCAGCCTTCGCCTCCCCAGTCGACCGCGACGTTGTCAACATCGTCGCACTCAACGTCCCAGTCGGGCCAGAAGGCGCGTTTTCCGGCCTCGATCGTGCTTAGTGCTGCAGGCAAGGCCAGCCACACCGCCGAGCTTGACGCCGCTTACCCTCAACGAAGCGCAGGCGAAGGATCTTCGGGCAGCTTCTACGTCATCCGGGCTCATTCCTGGAAGAGCCTGCTTCGGGCGCTAGCTTGGTACGGAAACACTCGAGTCGAGGCGAGTCCCGAGGATGTCGCAGCTGCAAGCGAGCATCGATCGGGGCGATGCTTGCTTCGTGCCGAGATCGAGTTTGTCACACCGACCAGGGTCGATCTCGGCATGGGAGTCGGCGAGTATGCAAAGGCAGCACACACTTCGGCTGGCATGCCCAAGCATCCCTCTCCGGCCCACGTAGCCTTGTGTCTGTCGCTCCTTCCCGTCTCGTCAGGATCCTCCTCCGCATCTTCCAAGGAAGCAGGCGCGTGGCTCAAGTCGGACACATATCGGGCGATCAAGCACGAGTCCCGACGTCTCGATGCTTGGTACGCGGGAAAGGGCTCGACGCGACGACTGATTCAACTCTCACGACAACCTCCTGCACTGCCCGTAATCTTGGTGCAGATTGCCCAAGTGCTTCACGCATCCCATGCATTCAGCGCTGCTTGCCCTTCGTCGGGGTCGACTGCGCGCCACTCACCGCGCGACCTCCACCACGCCATCGAGAGACACGACGAAGGGTTTGTGCGCAAGCAAAAGGCAATGCTGGCAGCGGGATCCGCTCTAGCGTCGCAGACGGGCGGTTTGAGCAATGCCTCGACTGCATCGCTCGCATCCTCGAATCCACGCTTTAGCTTGTCGGGACCCTCTCGCTTCTCTGGCTCGACCGAGATTCATCGAGAGAGCAATGAGGATGATTTCGGCGACGAGGACGACCAAGATGTGGATGTCGACGACTTTCACCTGCTCGAGCACGGACTCGCCGGTGACGGCTCGTTTGATGCTCAGGACAAAGCACTCATGGGCAAGCGTCACCGTTTCAAGGCCAAGGTCAAACGTCGCCTTGCCAAGCGCAGTGCGGATGGCCGCGTGGTCGACGAAGACCTCGCTGCGTGGATCACACCGTTCGATCTGTCCCAGCACGGCTGAGCAATGCCATTGCGTTTGCCTCAACTACGATCAGGCGTACTTGTCGCTTTTGAGCTTGGTGCGCCGATCGAGCATCTCTTCCGCAAGTCTGCCCTCCTTCTGCGCTTTGCGCAGCGCTCGGCGCTCCTCTTTCGACATGCTGGCTCCGTAATTTGAGGGCACGTACTGGGCGCCTGCACGAGAGCGCAAGGTGTCGAGCTCCTGAGAGATGACCTGGTCTCGAGCGTTGTGTTGGAGTGCAGTCGGGTCGTTTGCTTTCGTGCGACCAAGGCCTTGGGCATCCGCATCGTCGGCAGCGTGACGGGCCGCGTGTCGATGCTTCCATTGGACGTTGATGTTCCAAAGTGCGGAAGCATCCTCGCTCGACGCTTCTGGCCTTTCCGCATCTGCTCGGACGACCGTCTTGCCGCCAGCGATCTGATCGAGCGCGAGGTATTGTCCGTGCACAGAGCGCAGCATCCACTGCCGCTGCCCACTTGGCCCCGCAGAGGCCTCCAGCGTCCATTCTTCCTGTGGGCCACGCGCTTCCATCGAAGCCTTGAGGGTACCGTGCTTGTCCGCGCCGAGAAACTTGCCCTCGGCACTCTTGAAGGTGAAGCGCGCGGGTAATTCGCTTCCTGGCACCTTGGTAGCCACCCAGACCTGGTAGACAGACTGCGGTGTGATGACATCCGTGTCCATGCCTAATGACTCGTTCGACGGCACGATCTCGGCGCCCTCGAGCTCCTCTGCTAGCTTCGGGTCGGAGGCGTGCAATGTGGCGATGTCGTCGTTCGATGCAAGACCCGATGCCGGCAGCACGGCGGCTGCTTCGACACTCTGAAGGGTCGGTTGGAAGGCTACGGAATGCACCGCAGCGCGGGAGTCGAGCCGCGACCGTGTGAAGATGAAGCAAGGGCCGCTCAGATCAAGCTCGGACTCGACAGAGACCCAGGCCTGCTCGTCCCCACCCACATCCTCGACGTCCGAAATGCCGCCGCGGTCAGCGTGGCTTCGTCCTGTCTTGTGCCGGCGAGAGCCCGATGATGATTCATGGCTTCTCTTGCGCTTCTTTGGCGCTTCGCCCTTGAAGCTGAGGCGCAGACTCTTGCCTTTGGTTGCGCTCATCAGTTTGGTCGAATGGGTCGTGGAGGTGGAGGCGGAGGAAACTGGCAAGAAAAGTTGCTGAGCGTGTGGGCATGCCCGTGTGCTCGACCCGCATTTTCTCCAAGGGTCTTTCCCTACACTTTCGACCAGACAGAACCCTGATATCGGAAGACCATCGTTGGAGGCGCCAGACATCAGTCGGCCGTCGCTCCTCTTTTGAGCCGACGGTCTCGCCTGGTGCCCTTTGAGGGTCGACCATGATGTCCAAGCGAGTCGCAATCCAGCGGGCGAGAGGTTTCCTTGCTGATGCCGGGCCGGCCGAGTCCGGCGTGCTCGAAGCCGAAGCGGTGGTGTACTTGGCGCAGCAACTTTCCGACGCGATTCGAGTCTCGACGGAGGGCAAGAAGACGAGACCGTCTCGCTCGTCTTGCTCGCAGCTGGCACTGCAGGTATTGCTGACTGCGCTCGGGCTGCGCAGAGCGGCTCTTGTGGACGCTCTGAGCCTCACACCAGCCCAAGCGCGTGCTGTCGGCTCCAAGCTCAAGGCGATCAACGAGGATGGATCCTCCTCAGAAGCTGAGGCGCTCGGCCATGTCTGCTTGCTTTTCCATGCTCCGTCTTCGCAGACCTTCGTCGTGAGTACAAGGGCGGAGCTCTGGTCGGACGCCAACTCTCCAACCGTGTGGGTCGACTGCCGCGCAGGACCAAAGCATGCATCGCCCAACCTTATCGAGCCGGACTCACATGTCACTTCGCTCATCACAGCTGTGCACGACGCAGTTCTTGCCTGCGGCCCCGCCGACGCGCTCATTATTCCTTTTCCCACGACGGAAGAGCCGACGGAGCTTGACTCGCTGCATTCGGAAGCTCAGCTGGTCGGCATAGCTCTCGCTGGCTTCCTTCTGGAATATGCAGCGGTCTACTGCCTGCACAATACCTCGTCGCTAGCGGACGTCAACAACCTCCGCTACAACATCCGACCCCTGCAAGTGACTGACCTGCCGCACGCCGACGTCGAGTTCACGAGCTCTCCCAAGAACAGTCTTGCCTCCCAGCCATTGGTCCTGTTCCGAGTGACGTGGATACGCCAAACTTCGCTCGCCAGCTCACATGCTTCCAACCTTGAACTGTTGGCCTTTTCAATCCCGCAGTCCCTTGCGACCAAGTTCGACCCGGGCAACGTCCGCTCGGATCTCGAGATCACGTTCCAGAGCCGTCTGCGCAGCATTGGCTCAAACTTCACATCCCCGTTTGCAAAGCTGTTAGCGTCCGGAAGCATCTCTTTCGAGACCAACACTGTCACACTGCCCCAGGTAGCCTTGTAAAGAAACTTCACATCTTGCACGCATCTCAATCGCACTTCATCCGCATCTCTAGGTGGACCCTGACCGAGTGTGACTTCTGGGCTGAAGAGTTGGTGGGGCCGCATCCATCAAAATGTGGAGGAAGAAACGCCAAAATCACGCACAGCGGCCGAGCGCGTCCAGACGCGTGATTTCTGGTCCCGCCAATCCTGACTCCCACACACATGCTTCCATCTTCGTCTTGTCACATCCTCACATCCTCCTCACCTGATGACACGACCGTGAGGCGATGGAGAGCTTCGCCTCCTCGTCTGGCGGCGTCCATGCTCTTTCTGAAGGTCATCATTCGCCCCGACGCTCGCGTGCCAAAGCCAGGCTGCTTTGGCGCAGCGATCTTGTCCTGATCGACGGAACACAACTGCCAGGAATTGCCATAGTCTCTTACTCCAATCCTTTCGGCGAGCCAGTCGAGGACGGCAACAAACATCATGGAGCACGCGCCAATCTACACGAGGCCGAAGCCGACCTCTGCTTGGCGCTCGAGATGCTCCGCAACCAGCCGCTACGCATCGCATCGGTAGCTAAGCACCGTGGGCCCGAACCTAGATCAGCCCTGCCTGGACAGCGGCAGACACACTGGGTCGCCAGCGGAGAAGTCCGTGTCTACATCGACCCGAAAGAGTCTGCCACCTGGGCCTTCTTCCAGCGCATATTTTGCTTCGAAGCCGACTTTCTCACAGACGCCGACGACGAACGCTCAGCTCAGGTGCTCACCGTGTCGCTCCAACCATCCTTACACGCTCCCAGCACCGAGAACGGCGCTTCGGATCCCTTCGCCACCGTCCACACTCCAACGGCGCCCCACTCGGAATTCGCCATCTTTGCACAGCCAGTACGAGCGACCGAAGGCGTCCGGGCTTCCGCAGATGCTCCATCCACGTCCATCCGTCTCGTCCTCGGTCGGAGGGTGACGGTGCAAACTCGAAGGCCGCTCGCCGCCAATTCGAGTCGTGAGCTCTCGCGGTCGCGCAGCTTTCACCGCCAGCAGAGCATCGGCTCGCAGAGCCTGCAGGATGTCTTCAGCCAGGCCGGCCTGACGCTGCCGATACTGGGTGGCTTGCCATTTCCAAGTGCAACCCTTGCTCCTCGTCCGGACGATCCGCTTCCGCGCGGATCCATCTCTGCGCTTCTGCAAGCACGCTCCAAGCAGGCATCTGGCTCAGCGGAACGTAGCCGAGCTGTATCGCCCGCACGCTCGCCGAGCGTGGTCCCTCCCACGATCACAGGGGGACCCCACACTCCCGGGCGGAGAGGTGAGAAGCGGCGCCGGGGCTCGGATCAAAAGGTCGCTGGTAGTCCCTCACACGGTGCTGACGTCCATGACGAGCAAGATGCACGCAACGCATCGCCAACCAAGGCCATCAAGCGACGCGCTGACCGCATCCTCTCGGACCTTCCCCGCCTCAATCTCGGTAAGCAGCCGATGCGTGCGCCTGTCACTACCCCTCGAGACAGCTCAGATTTGCTCGACGTCGCGCCTGCCGAGGTCGAATCCGCATCGCCAGAGCCCTTCGCGCTCGAGAGCAACGAGCCTGTGGACAAGACGAATCGCAACCTCATCAAGAAGCTCGTCCATACCCTCCTCGTTCGCGAACACGGCCTGTCCAAAACCCACCCCGACTACATCGCCACCTACAACCAGACGTGCTCAGGAACGTGGTGCACCTTTCGCAACGTTGCCAACTCCCACATACTCTCCAAGGACGCCGTCGAGAACGTCGTTCGCATCCATCTATCACTGTACTTGTATTCAAGCGTCGAGTAAAAAAAAAACTCGTATCAACACGCCTTAGTTTTCAGGCGGAGACGCCCACAGACGTCGCCTGGCGCAGCCGTTCCTCGAGCTGCTCCACCTCGTGCTTGAGCTTGTCGGCGTCTTCCTGGCTTTGGGTGAGGAACTGCACTTCCATCTTGGCGTTCTGCAGGTCGCGTCGCACGGCCTCGAGCTCGTCGCGCTCGGAACGGCGGTCGGCCAGCAGCTTCTCGAGCTGCTCGTGGTGCTGGTTGGATAGCAGCGCCATCTTCTCGGTGTGCGCAGCATGCAGGCGCTCCAGATCGCTCATCTCCTGGTTCTCCTTGCCCTGGCTGTCCAGCAGACTCGCCGCCGTGGTGGGCTCGGTCGCTGCCGCCTTGGACGCCAGGAGCGCCAGCTCCTTCTTGGCAGCATCGCGCTCACGCTCTGCCTCGTTGAGCTGGTCTTGCAGGTCCATGAGCTTCCCCAGATCCTGCAGGCCCTTCTCGCGGAGAGGCACGAGCGACTCTTCGTGCTTGCGGGTCAGAGCGCCAACCTCGTCGACATGCTTTTGCAGGAGCGCCTCCTTGTCAGCCTCGTGCTGTGTCGAGATGGCTTCAAACTGCTCCACGAACGCCGTCTGCGACTGGTTGTGCGCGTTTCGGACCTCCGAAAGCTCCTGCTCCAGCTGCTCCAGCTGCTTCCGCAGCAAAGCGGCCTCCGACGAGCTGGCCGCCGCCGAGTCCGAAGCGGAGCGCTTCGCTTCGTCGGCAGCCGAGGCAAGCTCAGCCTCGAGCGATCGGATGCGCGAGTCCTTCGCCTCCTTCTCGGCCTGCAGCTGCGACACAGTCTCCTTGAGCTTCTTGAAATCGTTCTGCGACGCGTCAAGCTCCATCTGCACGCGCTTCAGCTCACCGGCGCCACGCTCGTCCGCCTCTGAAACAGCGGCGGCATGCGCGGCCCGAAGGGCGTCCAGCTCGTCGGCGTGCGATTTGCGCATCTGCTCGATGGTCTTCGACGACTGTTCCCTCAGCGTCTGCAGATCCGTCGAGTGGTGGTCGCCCGCCTCCGCGCGCGCCTTCTCAAAGGCGTCCATCACCTTTTGGTCGTGCTCGGCTTGGACTTGAGCGACCTTCGCGGCATACACCGCCTCTTGGCTGGCCAGCTCGGCTTGGATCTTGTCCAGGTTCTGCTGCAGCGCTTTGACACGCTCATCGGCCTCCTCGCTATGGGTGGCAAGCTCCGACTGATGCTCGTCACGCGCCTTGGCTAGGGCCGTTTCGTGCGCAGCGGTCAAGACCGAAAGCTCCTCGTCGTGGCGCGAGGAGTGTTCGGCCACTGCCTTCTCCAGAGAGGACTCGTGATCTTGCTGGAGTTCTGCTCGAACCTTCTCCTCGGCTTCTCTCCTCGCGGCCTCGATCTCGATTGCCTTCTGTTCAGCGTGCTTCGCTTCAGCCTCCTTGAGCGCGCGTTCGAGCGACTTTGCGTTCGCATCCGACATTTCTCGGCGGGCGCTGCTGACAGCATCTTCCAGAACAGCGGCAGCCTTCTGCTCGGCCTCCGCCCGAGCTTGCTCTACGGCCGCTTTCAAGGACTCGCCTTGTTCCGACTCGAGCGCGCCTCGCTCTTCTTGATGGGCTTTCTGGGCCTTCTCGAGAGTCGCGGCTTCCGCAGAGGCGACGGCTTCGGCGAGGCGGGTCTCAAAGGCAGAAGCGTTCTTCTCGATCTCGGCCTGGAGACTCTGGTTTTGCTCTTGCAGTTCCTCGAGCTTTGCGACTCGCTCCTGCAGCTCCTGGTTGCGCGATTGAAGTTCGACAAGCTCTTCAACCTTCGCTTGCAGCGTCTCGTGCTGCTCCCGCAAGGTAGCGAGCTCCGCATCCTTGACAGCAAGAGCGGAGGCATCCTGCTCGCCCGCCGTGCCCGCTTCGCGTGCCTTGTCTTGTGCTTCTGCCAATTCAGACTTTGCTGCATCGAGCTCCTGCTGGAGCTTCTCCGTGTGGGAGAGCAGTTCGGCCTCTCGCTTGCTAGCCGCTTCGGCGGCGACAGTGGCCGACATCTGAAGCGCTTCGTTGGCTTCGCGGTGCTCGGACAGCTTGCTGTCGGCCTCCTTGGTTGCTTGGTCCGCCTTTTGGTCGTGGTCGAGTGTCAGCTGCTTGAGGCGTTCTTCCATGGAGGCAACGGACTTTTTAGCCGCATCCGCGTCATCCTGAGCCTGCTGTGCGCGTTGTCGATGGTGTTCGCCCTGCTTGATGCTCTCGTCCAGCTGCCTCTGAAGCTCTGCCAGAGCCGCTGTCTGGCTCTCTTCAGCCTGCTTGGCGTCTTCGTCCTTCGACGCAGAGGCTTCTTCGAGTGCTGAGCGCGCTTTCTCGAGCTCGGCCTCGAGCTCAAGAACCTTGTTCTCTGCAGCCGTGACAAGCGCATCTTTCTCAGCGAGGGTCGCTTTGTGGTCCGCGCCATGTTCCGCCTGTTCGTCCGCTGAAGAGCTGAGCTTTGCCTCGAGCGTCTTGACCTGCTCTTCCAGCTCCTGAACTCGGGCTTGAGAGGAGAGGGCTTCGGTGGACGCTTCGTCTGAGCCAGCAAGCTTGGCCTCGGCTGCAGACAGACTCACAGTCTTGGCCTGCAGCTCCTCGTCCTTGGACTCGAGATCGGACTTCATTTGGTCCAGCTGCTCGCTCTGCTCGGCCAGCTCCGCCTCGAGCTTCGTGACTTTCTCCTGCAGGTCCTTGACTGCAGAGGTAGAAGTAGCCCCGGCCGGCGCGAGACTTCGGCGGACAGCCCCCGCAGCAGCGGTGGACGTAGCCGTGGGCCGCGCAGCCGAGGCCAAGCTTGATCGTGCTGCGGATGCCGGACGGGCTGCGGTGGTGCTGGTGGAGTTGCTTGTGATGGAGGCCCGTCGAGCCGCCGCACCGGCGGCGGGGGCTGCCGTTCCCGAAGAAGCGCTCGATGGTGCTGCAGAGAGACGCTTCGCCGCAATCGTGGTGCCAGCAGTAGACGAGACGGGAGGGCGTCGGGCGGCGGTGGCTGTGCTTGTACCTGCAGTGGAGCGAGCGGGGGAGGGCGGTACGGCGGAAACGCGTCGCGCAGCCGCACCGGCCGCTGTGGAGGTCGCAGCAGCGGACGGCCTTACGGCAGCCGCCGTGGTCCTCGTACCAGTCGCGGTTGCAGTGGAAGCAGTAGTGGTGGTTGGCCTAGCGGCGCTGACAGCACTTCTGGCGGCGGCGCCGGTAGC